CATGTTAAACCTAATTAACCTCGGTTTCACTTTTATGTTTAATTTACACCTTATTTAAACTGATCATCCGATTCCTATCTTATAAAACTTGATTAGTGCTGATTCTTACTCACCCTAATAAGTATAAATAAAATTTGATACTCCCTGAAGATTGATTACTACAGTGTATTGAAAATTCATGTAGATGTAAGTCATAGTGGACTGATTACGAGGTAACAGCAAAGTTGGTGCTAAAATCGACAAAAGGCAAGACGTTAGCAATTAGCATTAATGATGATGTAACTATAGACTGTTTTGTAGTACTCTAGTGTCATATAATGAACTACAAACCATATATAAACTGTTGGATCAATAACTTCCACGATGATTGATCTAATAATTTGCTACGTACTACTCGTATTACTATTTTTATAAGTGAGCCTTCTCAATACTTCGATGAGCGTAGTATAATGGCATTGTGGCACGTCTTTAAACCATTTGTTTCGACATGACGTTTCGTTTCTTGTTAGGGCTACGTTAAGTACATACAAAAATATCGTAATTACGTATATAGTAGTATAATTTCCCGTTTTAATTTGTTTCATCCTACTCTTTTCAATTCATATCATCTAGGAGTATCCTTAAAAACATTTATGTATCTTGTCGATATTATGTATCAAACTATCAATTAGTTATCAAATTGGACAATATATTGGATAATATGATAATGAGCAAGGTTATTATTCATAGTTCACATGTGTGTGGTATGCCATGCATTATGTTCTCACTCACTATTTTAAGAAGTCTTTCTAATTTATCAAATTTGTTCTCTTTGACATACATGAGCTACATTAATGACCTTTGAGTAGTCATCACTATATGTTGAGTAGTAACCAAATTGTATGTTAATTGTTAATTAACACGTTATATTAATGGACTTAACATTTTGAAAATAAAGTGATCTCTAATTTTTAAATAAAATGTCCAATAAAAAATAAAATACTACGTAATAACAAAACTCATTAACCAAAAAGTCAATTATATAAATATCTACAAACGATGAGGTAAAAAAAGAGCAATCAAATTGATAAAAAAATATCAATTCGATCAACTTCTATTAGATTATTCAAATATATATGAGTAGTAATAATAATCAATAATAATTTAAAAAGAGATTAGGAAACAATTGAGATGGATATTATAGGTCATTATAACAATAACTACAACAATAATTATAATATAGTAATAGTAATAATAATAGTAATAGTAATAACTGGATTTTCATTGGGAGAATTAGAGACAGATGTCGTTACTTTGCTCAAACGGGTGTGGAAGTTCTCCCAAGCTCAGGATGCCGGGGCTCGAGTAGCAACACACATCTTTATTAGGATTGGTAGTGCCCATAGTTAAATGAGTGGGGGCCCAGATTGTTTCTCGACAACCTACTAATAATAATAATAACAATAACAACAACAACAACAACAACAACAATAATAATAATAACCTATGAATGATAAGGCTTACCGTTCTGTTTTTTGTTACCGGGTTGGGAGTTCTTTTGTTCTCCGTTTCGACATTGTGCTCTACTTGATCAAGGGTTTTTGATGGGGATCATGCAGTGTCTTGTGCTGGGATGGTGGGTATTAAACATCGACATAACGTTGTGTGTGATACCCTTGTTGATATTTGTTTTCGGTCTGGGATTTCTGCAAGAAAGGAGGTAAACGTTGGGTTGACTGGAGAGAACGATGGGGCTCTTCGACCTGCAGATGTGTTGCTTTATTGGGACAGAGGCCTTGATGTATGTGTTGACTTGACGGGGTTTTCTCCTTTAACACAATCTGGGTTGTTTGACTTTGTTCTTAGTCGTGTTGTGTCGACTGCGGCTCAGTGGAAGCAGGACAAGTATGCGGCTCGTTGCAGGACAATTGGCTATGATTTTCTTCCTTTCTCCTTTTCTTCTTTGGGGGAATTAGATAAGGATGTTGTTGCGTTGCTGAAGCGGGTTTAGACGTTTGTTAGGACTTAGGATATTGGTGCTCGTGCAGCTGTTCACATCTTCAGCAGAATCAGGTTCGCTATAGTTAGAGGGGTGAGGACCCAGATTGTATCTCGGCTCCCCACTAATTTCTTGTAAATTGATTGACTTTGTAGGTTTGATGATGATAATAATAATAATAATAATAATAATAATAATAATAATAATAATAATAATAATAATAATAATAATAATAATAATAATAATAATAGCAAGACATTGGGGCTCGTGCTGCAGCTCATATCTTCACTAGGTAGGCTTTGCTATAGCTAGAGGAGTGGGGGCCCAGATTGTATCTCGGCTTCCCACTAATTTATTGTAGGTTGTATGACTTTGTCTCTTTTTGAGATATAATAATAATAATAATAATAATAATAATAATAATAATAATAATAATAATATAACTATATAAGATAATAACGGTTTATCCAACGCATGCCCATGGACACATGTTACAGATAGAGCAAGTAACAAACATATATATATTTTGGCAGCTTCAATTCGCTACCAAAATTTTTAAAAAACCAGTAAAACAAGGAGTAAATTAAATAGCTAGCGAAGTGATGAATCTCACAGGCCAGGAATAATTATCAATTTATTTTAATTAATCACGAAAAAATTCTCATTTTTCCGTATATTTGTCCAAACAATAATCTTATAAGAGTTACCTTTTATTTCTTAATTACCATATGCCCATAGACACAAGTTAGCAAATCTAAAAAAACGAAACAAAAACACATTATTGGTGTATGATCACTATTGTTTATAATTAGAATATAGTCATATTGATGAGTAGTTAATTGCAAGGTAACTTTTCAACATTGTAAACGAATAAACGAGGAAAACATGTTTAGATAAAAAGTAGAGCGAGACATACAATATGATAGAAGATCCCTAGGGCTCCCTTTTTCAATTGTGCAGTGAAACATGTTTGGATAAGAAATAAAGGAATACAATGTTATGGAGGAAGATCTCAAGTTTTTTCACTTTTAGACAATTTGATCATGATTATTCACTATTTTGGAAATTGGGAAAGGTGGTTCTTTCTTTCTATGCCTCCTCCTAAATGGTCCCGTAGTATGTACATTAAGGAGTATGAACAAACATGAAATAACTTTGAAAAAAAAGATTCTCATACAACATCTTCCGATTTAAAGGAGTATGTGGTTAAATATATTGATTTTTGTTAGCTTTCTATTCAAACCCTTATTACAAAAAGGACACCATAATAATATGAAAAAAGCTAGAGGAACTTTGTATATACCACAACGAGTACCTCATATAGCACTTTATTCTTTGGGAAAAAAGCCTTTAATTGAGCCACTAAAGTAAAGGACAAAAATTTTTAAGAACCAAGCCTCTCAAATTAAAATGTCTAAATAAAGCTTGATTGAGACATTGTTAATTAGACAAAGTATTAAACATGAATTGTTGAAGACATGAATTTTGGCTAAATTGGAAGCAAAAAATTAAATTTGGGTTTTCCAACTAACTAAAATACAACATAAATAGCTTCATCAAACTATCCTATTGGCCCCTTTAATTATAAAGTTGTTAATCTGTCATGATCGTTTTACCAACTTATAAAAATGTTGATCTGACAATATTTAGGCCCGTCTAATTGGTTTATCAATTTTTTTATATATCCGCCCAAAGGTTTTTGATTTATACATTAGGATTAATTAAGTGGACCCCATCCAAAGCTCTTAAAGAAAGATGAGAATTGAACAAGAGTATTCGAATTAAGGGATGGTCATATACAAGTATGCAATACTGTATATGCATATCATTTCTCTTGCTTGTCATAAAAGAAAGAAAAAAAAAACATTTCTCATGCTCGTTTTCCAAGTCAGTTACTGTAGAAACTTTTGTATATTACGTCCTCTGTGTTTAAATAGAAGAAACATTAACCTTTTATGGTTGTGATTAAATAAATGAAATATTTTTTTTTACGGCTATTTCACCAAATGTCACTGAAAAATTACGAAATTCATCAAATGCCATCGAACTTTTCAGAATTCACCAAATGCCATTGACAACTAGTATATTAACACAACGTGCCATTAATGATGCCAGGACGTTAGTTGGCCGTTAATGAAATTCTTAATTCATGAAATGCCATTGAGAAGTTTATATATTTCACCAAATGCCATTACTTTTATGTTTTGTTTCCCAGAAAAACCTCTGTTCATATGAAGTGTAACGGCTAGTTAGTTTGAGTTTTTTTAAATTTTTTTTGGACATAATAGTCGTTGCACCGCATTTGTTATATATACAGTAGACTACAACTGTTGTAGGAAATGATTTTTGCAAAATCATGAGATTCATGTCAAACACATCCTCTTCATAACATGAGTATGCGTATGTGAGGGTTCCAAATAAATTGTGCAATTGTGGTAGAAAATATGCAATTAGAAGCTCAGAATCAACATCAAATCCCCAAAGGCTTTATTATAAGTGTGCTTCAAATGGTGCAAGGTTGTGATGCATGAAGAAGGTCAAAGCATGGGAAGTCAAAGCAGGGGAAGCTGTTATGCAAGGGATGGGTCAGGCCAAAGCAATGTACATGAAGAATTGAAACTGTTGAAGAAGAAAATCAAGCAACAACAGAAAGTCGTGGATTGTATAATTAAATTAGGGGTACTGATTTGTGTAGTAGTGATGTTTGTAATATTGAAGTAAACTATTGTGTAATTGGATTGAAATTTAATAAAAACTGAAGTTATATTTTGTGCCCAAAAAATTGGTTCCTGTTCAAATCATGTACCCAAAAGATGCTTCCTGTTTAATTACAAGTTTATAGTCAAAAGATACTACACAAAATAGCACACACAACACTGTCAATCTTCAAAAATTACATGGAGAAACTGGGTGTGCACTAAAAACAGGAGAAACTTTGCATTCATGCTGCTTTCTTTTTTCTGTTGTTGGCTTGAGAGGTGGTGGCTGATGTGCTTGCTTCAGTTGCAGCCCTTTTCTTCCTTCATGAACAAGTGACCTTGTTGTGTCCCAACTCACTGCATAAGCTGCACTTTACTGTTGCATGCCTCTTCCCTCTCCTAGATTCATTTGGCCCTCTTTGTCTTTGCTTCTTTGGTCTCCCTGCAGCTCTTTTCACCAAAGGGGGCAATATGTCAGGTAGGTTCCCTGATGGCCATTGTGATGGGTCAGGCATAGGGTGCAAATGCTCTGCATAAGTGAGCTTGTATGCCTTCCCTTTGAAACAGGGGGCTACAAAGTCTGCTGGTTGCAGCCTCTGGTGGTATATGACCCTCAGCACATGTTTGCATGGAAGTCCAGAATGCTGCCATTTCCCACAACCACATATGCCAGTGCTCAGCTTGATGGGAAAATGGACATGTTGGTCTCTGACCTCAAATTCATCCCCACCACAGGGAATAGCAAAGCATAACCTTGACTCATCTGATCTTGTTTGTAGAATCTTGTCTGCATACTCAGTCAGGTCCATATCCCCCATGGTTAGTGATTTGTCAAACCTTGAGCCAATCCTCTTCATCACCCATTGCCTTATAGCTTCAAAACAGTATGCAAAAAAAAAGGTGTTAACAACATGGATTACAATATATTTTTGTGTGTTCAGCTTCAAAACAGTATGCAAACATAGTAGTGTTATGGTTCAAAACAGTATGCAAAAATAGTCGTACCTTCAAGTATTTTCAGAACTGGTAAATCTCTGTATGGCTTGGTGCATGAGTTGAAAGACTCCACAAAATTTGTTGTGTTATGGTCACAACAGAGGGAAGGATCAAACTTATGCCTTGACCAGACCCCAGGGTGCAACTCTCTAAGTACTCAACAGCCTTAGGGTTGTATTCTTTTATCTTTTGCATTGCCTTGTTGAACACATACTCGTTGTATGCATCAGCTGCTATCCAGAACAGCTTGTGAAATGCTGAACCACTAAATCCTTTAGCCTTGCAGTTCATGTATAGGTGCTGGCAACACACTCTTCTTGTTGCTCTAGGGAATGTCTCATTAATTGTTGTGTCAACCCCCTGCATACAAAACAGTGTAATGAGTAATTGTTAAACATGAGAAACTAAACTAAGAGTGACATGTAAGAACAAGAATATGAGGGTGGATTACCTTTATTCTGTCAGAGATGAAGGTCCAATCATCTCTCCTACAACCTTCTTTCTCAAACAAGCACCTCAAATTCCTAAGAAAATAGCCCCAACTGTCAATACTCTCAGAACCCACCACTCCATATGCAATGAGAAAAATCTCATTATTCCCATCAATCCCAACAGCAGTTAGCAGAATGCCCTTGAAATGTCCACTCAGGTGGGCTCCATCAATGCCAATGAATGGCCTGCATCCTCTCAAGAATCCCCTTAGTTGGGCAGCAAAAGAAAAGAAACAGCCCTTGAACCTTGGGGGCTCAGTTGCAGTGGCCTCACCCCATGTGACCAGGGCATAACTACCTGGGTTGGTCTCCTTCACCATTTCAGCATACCTAGGCAACACTGAGTAGGCCTCCCCATAACCACCATGGATAATCTCCTTGGACATTTCCCTCACCTTGTACAACAGCCTTTTCTTCACTTGTAGCCTAAACCTTTCCATACAAAGTTTCTGTAATGCATCAACTGGTATGTCAGGATTGGCATGAATGTCTGACTGAAGATGCCTACACATCCACTGAGAACTCACAATTGGATTTATTTCCAATCTCCCACAACTACTATGCTCTCCTGTTAGAGACTTGATTGCCCAGCTGATCTTGTCTTTCATAGTGGAGGCATAAATCCTCCAGTTGCATGTGTCAATAGCACACCTTGCTATCAATCTTGTTGGGTCACTCTTTTCTAAATAAACCCCAAACCCTTCTTGGACACAGTAGTCCTTAAACACATCCAAAAGTGACTGCCTGTCTGCAAATATGAGCCATGGCTCTAAAGTGATGGATCCAAACTCCTGATTGGTCCAAATTTTGCCATTTTTATATGTTTTATCCATTGCTGAACTGCCATCCAAAAAATCCTGAAACTGCTTCTCTGGAACATCATCATGAAGGTCATCTGTGTCTCTTTCATCCTCTATGAAATCACAGAGATCTGCCTCATCATCATCTTCCTCACTGCTAGAAAGTATATAATCATCATCCTCACTGTCACTTCCAAACTCATCAGAGTTTTCTTCAGAGTTTTCTTCACTGACAGGAACATTTGTAGCCATGTTCCTTGCTAATCTCCTCAGACTGACACCAACCCCCTTACCCCTTGCTAGAAGCAGTCTTTTTTGACCTAAATCCCTCAGGTCTTGATCTCCCCTTTTTTGCTGGAGCAGATGGTGGAGGTGGAGGTGGGACTTCTGTTTCTTCACTGACAGGTACATGGGAAGGATCAGGGGAGGGTTGTGGTTCAGGGACTGGTGGGGAGGGTTGTGATTCAGGGACTGGTGGGGAGGGTTGTGGTTCAGGGACTGGTGGGGAGGGTTGTGGTTCAGGGACTGGGGAGGGTTGTGGTTGAGGAGGGGGTTGGGATCTTTTTTTGGGAGTGGTTTTCTTTTTCCTAGGAGTGCTTTTTTTCCTAGCTGATGGCTTCTTGGGCTGGTTAAAAGGAGAGGTTGGTTGAGAGTTTTTTGGTGGAGTTGGTGGTTGTGTACTTTGTTCAGGTTGAGGTTGTGATGCCCCAGGAAATACCACATCAGCTTCTGGGGTGGCAAAAACTCTAACATATTCAACATCATTTATCTCCTCTGCATTTACAACAGGAACCTCAACTGCAACTTGATACTGTTGCTGTTCCATAAGCTCCCTCTCAGCTTCCTGCTCTTCAACCACCCTCTTGGCCTTTTCCAGTTCTATTCTCTCCTTCTCAGCCTTTGCCTTAAGCCTTTTTTCCCAACTAGCTACAGCATCCTTAAACACCACACTAGGTCCACTCTTCTCCTCTAAGAACACTTGTATTGTTCCCTACCTACATACCAATCCCACATTTGCAGCATTTGAGTATCCCCAGTTAACTATAACTTCCTATTAGTCCTAGGAGGCATTACATACAAACTAAAGTATTTGGGAAGGATCACATTTTGCCTTTCTGAATCCTCAAACATGTACTCAAACAAGTCCATTAGACTTGTTCTGTCAGTATCCTCAATCCTCACATCAAACCCCTGGTCTTTGTAATGAACATCAAGCCACACTGAACTCATCCTAAGAACAACAAATTACTTATTACTACAATGCACTTCAACACACATCATTCATATCAACAAACACATATGCACTCAAATATACTGATCAACTCGCAAATTTAACTCTCAAGCACACAATTACTACGATAAACACAAACCGGGTTACCCCTAAACACACATTGACAGATTCATACCCACAATTCCAGTTTTTAACATGCATTTTTTCAATATTTCACAAAGGCCAATTCAAATACACAAATTGCACTGATCATCTTGCAAAACCCTAACCCTAACACAATTTTCGTAAAAAATATCAGAATCGAAAAGCGAAATAGAGTATCGATGGATAGATTATTACCTTGCGTGCTATCTCCAACCCTTCAAACTGAATTTTGCACTTCAAACTTCCTTCAAGTTCTGGCACTACTTCCTCGCACTTCTAGGTTCTCCCAGAATGAAGAACACCAAAAGGTTCGAACTTGTTGCAGAGTTCCGTCGTTCAATGCTCCAACTTTGCTTCTTCGTTGCTAGAGATTTCAAGGTTTCAGTTTTGGTGAACTTTCGAAGAACAGGGGAGAAGTTATGGAAGAACAAGGTCCAACAACAATTGAATAATTGAAAAAAGAGAAGTCAGACAGTCAACTTCTTAATGGCGGCATTAAACACAAAGAAAGGGTAAAATAGTATTTTCGCAATAACGGCCAACTAACGTCCTGGCATCATTAATGGCACGTTGTGTTAATATACTAGTTGTCAATGGCATTTGGTGAATTCTGAAAAGTTCGATGGCATTTGATGAATTTCGTAATTTGTCAGTGGCATTTGGTGAAATAGCCGTTTTTTTTAAGTAACTTTTCTCTATTTTTTTTAATAATATACTACAGACCAATGGTCCCCACAAAATCCCTTAATTTCTTTTCTTTTCTCAAACTGATACCCCACTATTTATTATTTTAATAAATTCAACTAACTTTTTCAAAAACTTTGTAAAAGTCAAAATGTTTTACTTTTTTTTTTTTTTTTTTTGGTGTTCCACCCGCTTCACCCTTTGGGCTAATTCGGATTCGGGGATCAGTTTTGGGTGGTTAGGTTTCAATCCCCTTCCAATTGTTGTTGCATGGGATCGAATACGAGTCCTTCCTACCAAGTGCAGTCTCAATCACCACTGCACCAACAACCAATTTGTTATTTCGTATTTATTTAAATACGGAGGGAGTATGATTTTTATATATAAATGGTTATCAACTTATCATGAATAATTTGATGAAATAGTAGAGCTTATTATTTCACATAAAATCACATGAATTTTTGTAATAATGGATATACTAATTCCTGGCTTTTTGTCGATAAAATGTAGGTCAGTATATATTATCTAAGGATACTGGCCATGAATAAGAAAAACATAATATTATATATCTCGTGATACATTTAAATTAAAGAAATTGGGTTGCCGGCCGACTGGATACATTTTACATATAGTCCTTAAATCCAAATACCTGTACTAACTAGAACCTATCAAATCAAAATAAAATACCATTTAAAAATATACTCTTTATTTAAATCTTATTCTATAATTTTTGTCAATAAAACCTAGATATATTCTAGCAATCTAGCATGGAATATTCTCAATAAGTTTCTGTAAATGGGAGATCCTTCATACGCACATATAAAATAATATTATAATATAAGATATTAAACAATACAAGAATAAAGATCGAAGTTTGTGGAGATATTTAGTTGTGAAGAAATAAAGAGAGTGGACCTAAAAGAACAAAGACGAAGAGGTGTTGCCAGAGAAGGTTGTTGAGTATAGTTCCTCATAGTTACACTAGTAGGACAATAATAGTAGTTATACTTCTACACTCTCACAAATGAGTAAATGACCATATATAATAATTACATTGAATTTTGTTTCCTCTATTTGTAAAAAATAGACCTAAATTGTGTTAAGAAAATAATGCAAATTTTCTATTTAATCAAATTTGAGGGAGAAATAAATTACATAAACAAAATGTCTATTTATACCAAAGTGCAAAAAACACAACCCCTCTTTTCTCTGAGTTATTTTTCTTTTCTCAGATTTTCTCTTGAAATTATTACATACAAATGAAGGAAATGCTCAATTTATAGTTTTCCTAAAACAACCTAAGCCATTTAAAATTAAGCCTGCAATATTTATTACCATTAGTTATTTTTCCCTATATTTGGAAACACCTTTAATTTTCAATGGTAATGCATGGTTATTTAATAACCATTTATTTTTTTTCTTTATGTTTCTTAATTATCTGCCAACAATCTCCCACTTGAAGACTGATTTTAATCTGTCTTCACACCAAAGAGTAGAACCTCAACTAGTCTTCTGTCATTTTAAGACCAATTGATGTTGAGCACAATTTCAACTTGTCAATCGTCACTGTTTTCGTTAACATGTCTGCTGGATTCTTACTGCCAAGAATCTTTTTAAGAGTTAACACTTCATCTTCTAGAAGAGACCTGATAAAGTGATAACGAATACCGATGTGCTTTGTTCTTGAGTGAAACGCCGAATTCTTTGCTAAATGTATAGCACTCTGACTATCGCTATACAAAATATTATTCACTTGTTTGAACCCCAGCTCATCTAACAAACCTTGAAGCCATATCATCTCTATACTAGCTTCGGTCACTGCCACATACTCAGCTTCTGTAGTGGATAAAGCAACAATCTTTTGTAGTTGGGACATCCAACTTACGGCTGTATTTCCAACTGTAAATACATAACCCGTTGTGCTCTTTCTATTATCGACTTCACCGCCAAATTCTGCATCAACGTAACCTTGTATTTTCAATTCACCTTTACCAAAGTACAAACACTTATTAATTGTACCTCGTAAATACCTCAAAATCCATTTAACAGCTTCCCAATAGACTTTTCCTGGATTGGACATAAACCTGCTTACAACTCCCACTGCATGTCCAATATCTGGTCTTGTACAAACCATTGCATACATCAAACTTCCAATAGCCGAGGCATAAGGAACCTTGGCCATATATTCTTTATCTTCATCTGTCTGAGGGGACTGATCCTTTGATAGACGAAAATGACTCGCCAACGGTGTACTAATAGGCTTAGCATCACCCATATTAAATCTCTGAAGAACACGTTTGATGTACTCTGATTGTGATAACTGCAAAGTGCCTCTCTGCTTATCTCTTGTGATTTGCATTCCTAAAATCTTCTTTGCTGGACCCAAGTCCTTCATGTCAAATTCCTTTGACAATTGATGCTTCAACTTTATAATATCATTCATATCAGAACCTGCTATTAACATATCATCAACATAAAGTAATAGGATGATATAACTGGATTGATATCTCTTGAAGTAGCAACAGTGGTCAGCGTTGCACTTCTGGAAATCTTCCTTGTGCGTGAAGTTATCAAACTTTTTGTACCATTGTCTTGGGGCTTGTTTTAGCCCGTATAAACTTTTCTTAAGTTTGCATACCATTTGCTCTTTCCCACTTTTTATAAAACCTTCTGGCTGGTGCATGTATATTTCTTCATCAAGATCTCCATGAAGAAATGCAGTCTTCACATCTAACTGCTCGAAATAAAGATCTTCAATTGCAACAATACTCAACACTGTTCTAATGGTATTGAGTTTCACAACAGGAGCGAATATCTCATTATAATCAACTCCTTCTTTCTGTTGAAAACCTTTGACAACTAGTCGAGCCTTATACCTCTTGGAATCATCGTGCTCCTTTTTTGCTCGATATATCCATTTGTTATGAAGGGCCTTCTTACCTATGGGTAACTCAGTTAGTTCCCATGTCTGGTTTGAAATTAGGGATTGCATTTCATCTTTCATTGCAAGCCCCCACTTGCTAGCATCTCTGGTCTGGGATGCTTCATAATAATCTTCTGGTTCCCCATCATCAGTTAATAACAAATAATTCATATGTTTTCTATTAGGCACATGTGGTCGAGTACTCCTTCTTAGTGTAGGAGTTGGACAAGAAGGCTGTTGTATGTCATTTGATTGCGATGTATTGCCCTG